GACCTCGCCCGCACAGGGGGGGGGGGTTGATGCACCCCCCTAAGGTTTTTCGCGAATAACTCGCTTAAAAAGCGGCTGATCGCGACGAAACTTTCAGTACCCTCGCATTGATCAATTTAACACCCATCCTGAAAATTTCATGACCCTGACCCAAATGACCTTTGACCTGTGACCTACTTTTCGAGACCATGTTTGGCCGGAACCGCGATTCAGCGTATGTCGGCTCGCATTAGCAGCGCGTTTGCAGTCTTTTCGTGGTTTCAAGCGTTCAAACATGTGATATGATGTTGCCCCCATGCATTAGGGTGGGTGTCAAGGTCACCTGAAGGTCAGGTCAGGTCATTGACCTTTGGTGACCTCGGTTCACTTTTTCGAGTTTGACATGTTTCTAGGTCAGTTTTTTTTCGAGCTGAATTCGAATTAAGCAACCACATGAACGTTTACAAAGTAGTTTTGGTGCCTTCGTAACATGTTACGAAGCTGTCAGAGGCGGTTGACACCTACTACAAATACCTGGCAGGACCTCTACTGGTTGACCTGACCTGACCTAACCCGACCTGGCCTAAATGAATGAAGACATCATCTGTGATCAAAACTAGCATGATATTTGTGATCAGCACCCCGAAAAACCCCATAGCAGCCACACTACGACGTTCTAACAGGTCCCAATTTTCCCGCCCTTTGGGTCATTGACCTGACCTGGAAGGTCAACCGATGACCTAGGACCTTAAAATTGGGTATCATCGGCTTTCTCTCGTCACGGGCAACACGCTCGTTTTTTCCGCGAAGCTCTAGCTTGATCAGGAGCGAAACGGCAAGGGGTTATACCTTATACGTTCGCGGCTGAGTATTAATTTGGTTCAAAACAATGATGTAGATAAGTTAGTTATTTAAATCTAAATATCCTATGACGAGAGCGATGGACATTTTTGGTATGCAGTGTTATCCATTGAAAACAGGTCAAAGCTATTGAATTTTTAATTTAGTGGTCGCCGCTTACTAATCATGCGGCATACACGCCGCACATAACCGCCAATGCCGCAACGCAGCTTAGATTTCGAAGTAAGCATTTAGTCTCACCCCATGTTGAAGAGATACCCCTAAAAGCGTGATCTTTTATCGGCCCTTACGCAGCAAGGCAGTACTTCTCAGACCGGTGGATGGTATCAATAGAAAGAGAATGCGTCAAAGATTAACATGAATTAATTAAAATAACATTAAAATGTTAATTAAGCGTGGAAATTAGTCCCAAACTTAAGCTAATTATTGCTCCTACCTCGGCGACGGCGCTCCCCGCAGTCAGCGGAGAAGCTAAAATAAAAGCCACCATCCTCCTCCGTAAGTCAATTTTAGAGCGGCCGAGCGCGGCCGAGTGGGCCGATGCGGGGCGCGCGGGGCCACCAAGCTGAGGTGAGACGTGGCTAGCAATTGCGAACTGCCATAGAAATCAATATCTTAAGACGTACAATATGGGATGATTACTCTGAAGCTGGAGTGAAAGCATGAGTAGATTGCAAGAAACGAAATGCATAGATTGGTTGAATTATGTACAATAGGCACGGCTCAGATGAAGCCATTTCTTTGATGTTGACATTTGACATAACCCTTCCTCTCCTCACCTACGACCTAAGTACGTTGGCAGTTACCGGCATAGTTTTTTAGCACGAGTGTAATTCGCCATCTGACCGCAACGCATGTTGCTAGGCTGCTGCAATTACAACGAACATACGAATACTGCCTTCATTTGTAGACGTTTGTTTTTTAGGCGGTCTTTGACGTACAAGGGGGCGGCATACCTGTCGACAACTTGAGTTTCTCCGAATTTCAAAAACTCCCAGAATTCCAATTCCTTATGCACTGTTGTAGGTACAGCTATGTTCACAAGTTTTCGTTTCCTCCTGCTCTAAAAAGGATGATATTTGTCGATTTCGTGCGTCGCTGATAGAAGGGTGCCCGGTGCGTTTAATAATTAGACCCAACGCTTTCTGCATCCGCGAGTACCTTGAAAAGGGAACAACAGTTTCCATTTATTACACTATGGGACAAGTGACAAAATGACCACTGCAACACGCATGAAACGGAGCTCATATTCCTAAAAATGTCTACAATCACTTCTTTTCTGACACTATTAGCAAATACCATCTCACGTTAGGTGGTTGACAGACAGTCAATGGAGATCTGGGGAGACTGAGTGATGCCAATTCACCACTTAACTGATAATGAGGGCCGAGGGAAGAGAAACATGCAACATGCACAACTGACAACTTGACAAGTGACAAAACACTACCACTATTGCGCAGTGCACAACAAATTACAGCAGCCAGCCCAAAAATGCTTTTGGTGGCTAATTGCAAAACAAGTCACTAATAAATGTCTTAGTTGCAGCTGAACACTGCACAATGATCACACTGTTCACACATTGAGTGAGATGCCACAGGTGGTTTGAATCACACTTTGGTACAATTGCAAATCTGAAGTGTTGTCATGAGGTTCATGCCTCCATGATCACAGCACTTTGGTTGTGGTTGGCATAACACTTGTAGTCTGCAGAGTTCCACATGAACTGCAGACACCTCATCTGGTGGTCTTCATGTTGCTCAACTTCTTCAGGAGGCAAATGTCGACCACCCAGCGGAAGCATGGTCCTGCAGAAAAGAAAGGTAATGCATAAGGTACAACATTATCTGCTGAAACAGCCCCTTCTGTTTGCTGTTATTAAACTTTTAACATAACATAACAACATATATTCCATGTATATTACATTTGTTGAAGTAAAATACTGCCGGCTATTTCAAAACCAGAAAATGAAATTATATTGTGGCATAATTCACATGCTCAGCTATCAGTATCAAATAATAAATTAATTTAAAATTTGGCATATTCTATATAGGTATCACATTCATAGAATGTTCTACTTCACGTCACAAGGACTCACAATCTTTCTGTTGGGTGTTTGATTGACGCATTAACTAGGTTTGTCTTAGGTTTTATTATTGCAAAAAATTCATATTGCATTATTGTATCAAAATACTGCCAGCAATAACAAAACAAGAACATGAAATGTCAATGAGCAAGCCGCCTTTCCTAAAAATGGATTACTTTGAAAAGAATTTTAGTTTCTTTTAAGGAAAAGGAGAAATGATTATCAGGTAATTATCAAAAACCACTCAACCAGCAAGTGGCTGGGTGGTTTCACAGCAAACATCAAGCCAAAACATATGCTTACATTTATCCTAACAATTGAGCCATTTGACTACACAAGGATATGTGAGCAAAATAAGAATCCAATTATCCAATGTTGACTTCCTTGCAAAGTTTATGCCTTATTTTATGAAAATGTGTCACTAGAATATGATACTTATCATCGAATATTATTTAATTTACGATTTATTTCGATCGGAACGCACATGGGGTCCCGCGCCATTTTCGTCGACGATAAATATGATCGTGTTTCATGAAGGGATAAGGGGTTTCAATGGTCTTTCAAAGCAATAATTTGATGCAAAAATTTGTAGGAAATAATATAAAGCTGGTTCAAATGGCCATCAACCATTTAAAACACCGAAAATACTCACAACTCCGCACCGACGACCACGCAGCACCGCGCACGCCACACTACTGGCACAATGCCAAAACTGCCGTCACAGCAGAAATGTTTTTTTTTCTCGATTGCAATTGTGGAATTATTTATTAAACAGAAGATTATCTTTCCGAAAAACCGACTGATTTCATACACAGATGCATGGAAAATAAAAAAATCCCGGTAAGTTTATTTGTATTGTTTTGTCGATTTTGACATGCTCCTAGTTTGCAGCCATATTTCGATATGTTCTACAGGGAGTTCAGAATTATTTCAGGACCAATCTTTTCCTCATTCATTTTCCCGTCGATCATGAAATTTTTAGAGCGGAACAATTAGTTTCCAGGCGGTCCGAGCGGTTTTCGTGAGAAGGGTGCAAAAATCGGCGTCATTTTTAGAGCCTCGACACCAGCTCAACACAGGACCCTATGGGAGACGGTGAAGTAGCGGGAGCAATAAATAGAGCGCTCAAATTTTAGCTTATTTCCCTGGTGTGTCACCGACTGATATCAATTGTATTAGTGCCCATGCCTCCCCAGTCCCCAGTGTTCTGAGCCAGGAGCCAACTGAGCGAGTCGGTGACTCCACAGGGGGGTCTTGGGGTGTACATAGGGTCTGTTCTCGTCGCTCCTCCCAAAAAATCTCGGATGAGGTTGGATGAGCTTGGAGGAGAGCCGTTTCAGAGGAGCCACGGGAACATTTTCGCGAGGAAATCAGCTGTTTGCGGGCTGTAACGGTCGGCGCTTTATGGCGCGCAAACATAAATCAAGAGATAATAATCGCTTTCTAATAAAATAACCTTATATTAATATCAAACATTACTATTTAAAGATATCCAATCGTCATCAATCACTAAAATTATTTACACTTCCTTCAAATCTCATTTATAAACAATTCACATTTGTATTACGTGCGCCAAATATGTCTACGCAAGAGCCTCCTCCGAAAAACCAACTTTCGTTTGGGATGAGGGAGGAGGCAAATAGTGGTGGTGAGATGTGAAATCAAGATGAGCTTGGAGCAGCTTGGAGGAGCGACGGGAACGATTTTTTGAAACGAGAGGAGGTTAGAGGAGCTTGGAGGAGGTTAGAGGAGCGACGGGAACAAACCCATAATCTCAGGTGGGATATGACCTCCAGCAACCTGTAGAAGCACACTCAACTCAAAAACTTATGTTAAGGTGGATCGTGGGATAGTCACTTTAACCTAAAAATATTTGACTTATCATTGCTAGCAATCTATTCATTTGAGTCAGTTCTTCTTTATCCATTAAAAGGCAAAAATCTGTAGGTAGGTCAGGTCAGGTCGGTTTGCTTGTTTCTTGTTTTTACCACCACAGCTGCCAGCAGTGCATTGTAGTAACACTCATTTTGGTTGTATAGAAGCGATCACAACTGGTAAAATAAACCAACGTACTTACGTTCCACTTCCAATTGCAGATATTAGCAAGCCTCCCTTCCTAACGGTTCGACCAGGTTAGACGAACGACAAAGACCAAGAAGACAATCGATAATATATAGGATCGGGCACACCCAAGGCTGGCACACCCAATGTTGACCCAGGTGTGATGAGTCATCCATTTGCTTCAGGAAGCAAGGTGATCGTGGATTGTATTTTACGTTCGACGCTGGTAGCAGAATCTTGGATGATATAAGGCTGCAAAGCCAACTGCTTTCGACCATTTCGCTTATTTCCGTACTTTTAGCTACGAAAAATATGCATATGAACACTATCAAATGAAAATTATGCGCAATATTTGTCTGAAAAATCAAGTAAGTGCCTCCATATGGGCAGAATGCTGCCATTTAGTAAAGGATTCTGTGGGAGTCTAAGGAGTAGTGAAGGAATCTTGAGTCTAACAGCACGGATCAGTACAATATAGTAGGTATACTGATAATAATTATAGTAATCCGTGCTAACAGCTTTATCAGCTGATGGTGCCAAGATGTTGCGAGTTGTAAAGGAATCTTGGATGTTGCGTTGAAGAGATCAGGCAGGAGCTTGGGCAGCAGCATGAAAGGCGGAAGGAGTAGTAAAGGAATCTTGGGCTGAAGATCTTGGGCGCATTGGGCGCTGGCTTACGCACAGAATCAATGCTACATAAACCGACAGGATTATCCAAGGGTGACGCTTTGTTAGGGTCTGAGCCCTACCAATAATTTCGAAATTTTAACCCCCGCCCGTTACCCGTATCAAGATTCCTTTATGTACTACTAGTACTAGCCCGTAACACGCTCGGTTTTCCGCGAAGCTCATAGTTCGATCCAAGGCCCTAAAACATACCATTATCGATCAGGGACGAAACAGCAAGGGGGGAATCCAACGGACCCCCTCCCCCTTATAAATTCGCGGCTGGAAAAACACCAATACAGGCGAGGGTTAACCCGCGCCCCGTTGGGCTCTGCAGAGCAACGCGCCCTGTTGGGGGGGGGGGGCAATTTGCCGGGGCAATTTGCCCCCCCCCCCCTAAGATCTCGAGAACCACGTAACCTAGCGACAAGCGGCAAACGGTGTTGGATAGCCCTATCAGGGAACTACCTTGTGACCCAATTTTATTGACCTAGGTCAAACCGATGACGTCACAGATCAGGTCAAAGGTCGAATTTTCACCGTTTACAGGCATTTCAAGAAATGCGTTGTAAAATCGAGTAAAATGCATTTCATTGAAAATCATCGATGGGGAAATGTTCTTCAAACGCATATTTTGCTATTTGAGGTCACTGATACCAGGTCAGGTCACAGAGGTCAGGTCACTGGGGGGTCACAATTTATGAAGGTGTCGTGTGATACATGTTTTATGGTCCATTTTACATGACAAATGCGATTATGTGGGCCATGCAGCCTTTGGGGCCAGCTTAGGTCACGTGTTGGTCAAGGTCAGGTCAAGGTCAGGTTAAGGTCAAAAAAGGTAAAAAAGGTTAAATTTAAAAGTTGATATTTTTGCATAAATGGGTATCGATTCGATGTAGCTCGTCACGGGGATTTCAATGGTGGTCTTTGTTTTGCCCTACGTGGTCTAGATTCGCTAAAAATTGAGTTCAAAAATTTGACGTCATCATTTATGAACAGTTTTTTCACCATAACTTGGCCAAAAAACGAGATATCGATCTGAAATTTGATATGTATATAGAAGAGCGCAGGGACTATCACATATATTCCGTTTTTTTCGAAATTCGGATTTTTTGGATTTTTTTTTAGTTTTTCTAAAAAATTCAAGTTTTTGAATTTTTGGGGGTCAAAATCCCAAAATTTTGAAAATCCGAGATAGCAGTTTTGTAGCGCCGCTTTTTGTCTACTAGACCATATAAAGAACTTTGAAATTGCTTGGTAACTGTAGATTTGGTGAGCGTTTCAAAATTGCATGTTTTTTGCTCATTTTTGCTCGAACATGACCTCAGTTTGACCTCAATAACTCCTGACCTAAGGTGACCTAAGACTTGAAATTTGGTGTGAAGGTGTCAAATTGATGCCCGGGAAGGTACTGAAAATTTGGCGGCATTGCGCGCCGCCGTTTTCCTGCTATTCAGGAAAAACCACAGGGGGAGCCAAATTGCCCCCCCCCCCAAACGGGGCGAGGGTTAACATCCCAGTAAACATGCCGACGTCGGCCCGACGTCGGGCCGAGGCTCGGCCCGACGTCGGCCCAACGTCGGTTCAACCTCGGCCCGACATCGGCTGGACGTCGGATATGCCCGCATGTTCCGACGTCCAGCCGAAGTCCAGCCGACGTCGAGCCGACGTCGGGCCGAGGTCGTTTGCCGAGGTTGACTTGACGAGATAGTTTGTCGTTGGACCGACGGGGCCGACGTCGGCATGTTTATTGGGACAACGCGCCAAAAATATCAACCGGCGGCGGGATTCGAGCCCCCCAGTCGCCGACGTCGGCGTGTTTACTGGGACAACACGCCAAAAGCATCAGCCGGCGATGGGATTCGAACCCCTTGTCATTTGAACGCGAGGTTAGAGCGCTAACCACTACACCACGCATCCAAATAGCGAATGTAGTTTGTTTTGTTGGGTTATGCCCTTTCGGTCTGACAAGACCATTTCAGATCAGCCGGAAGGATGATAGGATGGAGACATTGGTCTTCTTGGCGAGCACCCTGGGTCCAGTTCATTTAGAGTCCCTGGTCCCATTGCTGTTACGTGACACTTATTGGAAGGGGCGACCCCACAATGGATTCATATAGCCACTCTTACACACCTGCACCAACGTTTCCCAAAGTGTCCCTTTGATAAGTGGCACTTTGGCAAAGTGACACTTGCCGACTGGCCTTTCTATATGAACTGGGCCCGGCCCTGGTGAGTTGCCGGGGCTGAGCCTGACCAAAGGATAGGCCGAGCATCCCCCAAGCACTCACCGCACCCGGCTACGGGCGAGCTCGGCTTACGGGCAATCCCAAATGGGATAAAGTTTACCGTCCAGTCCGGATCTGGGGGTTGCGGCGTGGAGGAAGATTTGAGTTTCCTGAGGATATTTTGAATATATAAGCTCTTTATGAAACATGAAACATGTATTTTATATTATTTTAACGGTAAAACAGCGGCCGATGTCGGTCCGACGTCGCCCCGACGTCGGCCCGACGTCGGCTGGACCTCAGCAATTGATCTCGGTCCGACGTCGGCCCGACGTCGGCTGGACCTCGGCTGGACGTCGGTACATGCGGGCATATCCGACATCCAGCCGACGTCGTGCCGAGGCTGGACCGACGTCGGGCCGACGTCGGCATGCTGATGGGCCGACGTCGGCATGTTTACTGGGATATAGCGCTGTCCTGCTGGCAAATTAATGGCAAATTAATTTGCCAGGAATCCTTTTATGCCATATCATAGGTAACTATAAGAACCGCTTCCAATAGTTTTCGGAAAGTGACCTGACGCCCGTAGACCCCACCTTATCCTGGGAAAAGCACATCTCCAACGTTGTCAAAAAGTGCAATTCCATCCTTATACCTATGTCTGTATAAAATTCGCCATCATCTTAGTCCCGACATCCTTAATCCTTATCCAGTGTCATACCTTTCCTCACATCCTGTACTGCCTCTCTGTCTGGGGTGGCGCCGCTGCATGCCACCTTCACCGTGTGCAGAAGGCGATGAATTTTGGTGCGAGGGTTGTCTCTGGCGTGCGCAGGCATGACTATATATCGCCGATCCTAGCTGCGCTGGGCTGGTGTGACGTGCGCGAGCTGGTTGAGCGCCGTGACTGCCTCGGCGTCTACAGGGCGCTGAGGGACCCGCACACTCCCGCGGCGATCCGCTCCCTGTTCGTCCCTCGTACAGCGGTTTCCCGGCGCAGCACCCGGTCGACTGAGGCGGGCGCTCTCGAGCTGCCTCCATACCGCCTGTCCGCGTCGCGCCGCGCGTTTTCTTACCGAGCGGCCGCGGCGTGGAACCGCCTGTCGCCGGCTGTCACCGGCTCTGTAACCCGCGCCGAGTTTCTGCGCCGGCTGTCGAACTAGTCGAGGGTTTGGTTTGTCCGACTTTGGACCGAGTTTTTATATACCTACCTATCTCTTGATTGTGATTTACTGTGAAATTGACATGTTTTTATCTATGTACTCTGACTCGGACTAAATATTAAGCCACTATGTGGAAATGTCCTCAATACACCGAACTTGAAACTTGAACTTGAACTCCAGCCCATACAGTGCCCTGTCCGGCCCGCTTAGCTCTAAAATTGACGAGACCAGCATGTAAGGCTGTAAGCACATATGCCCCGCGTTTGATGTCTCTCAGACGGCGAAGATTCTACGTCAACCGGTCAATCCCGTTCAAGGTCAGCGGGGGCTCAGCTGCGGTTATAGAACGTGATTGGCCAGACGACGTAGAATCTTCGTCGTCCGAAATACATCGAACGCGGGGATAATATTTTAGTGGCCGAGTGCCCTGAAGGATTCAGGCGGACAAATCGTTCTCCCGGTTGTTGTCATGGCAACAGTAGTTTTAGCGGGCGGCTGGCGGCGCGACGGAGCTCGTGTACGCGTATATTCGGATGCAGTATGAGTAGAGCATGGGTCCCGAACAATTCTTCAGAAACTAGAGAAATTCTCGCGGCCACCGGCATTTAGGCGATCTGCTCGTGCTTTTGTCACTGGAGCGCTTCTTTCACGGAGATTGCGCCGGCCGCCTGCAACGGACGAAAAATACACGGCTTTGCGATCCGGCTGATCGTGGGAAAATACAGCCGGAGGTCTCGGCTCTATGCAGGTATACCACCGGGAGAGATGTATTTATTGTATAGTATATACCACTGGCTCGATGTATAGCCTGCAAGTTGGCTTTGGTGCAAACATGTCAAACAGGGTATAGGGCGGATCGATGTAAGCAAATCAGACGTTCAATTGACAATTTCCGATTCTTATTCGATAATTACGACCAATTATATTTTATTTTGGGAAGTGTTATTGGGACCGGAGCAATAAAATCTCATTTTCCCCTGTCTCCTTACCTATCTCCCAAACCCCTTGCTCACGATCATCTTTCCTCTCTTTAGGTATCAGTCTCCTTCCCGTCCTCCCCGAGTCTCTGACAAGTAATATCCATGTCTCTAAGTCTTTTCCTTCATCTGATCCTCCTTTCTCTCACCACCCTCTCTCTCTCTCTCTCTCTCTCTCTCTCTCTCTCTCTCGTCCGTCTGTCCATCTCTTTGTCCGTCTCTCCGTCCGTTCGCCCGCCCTTCCGTCTCTCAGTCCGTCCGTCCGTCCGTCCGCCCTTCCGTCTCTCAGTCCGTCCATCCGTCCGTCCGTTTCTCCATCCGTCCGTCCATCAGTCACTCTCTCCGTCCGTCCGTCATCAGTCTCTTCGTCCGTCCATCCGTCTCTCCGTCCGTCTGTCCGTCTCTCCGGAGGTGCAACTTTTCCCAAATAGTTCTTGGAACGTCACACAGTATATCGAACCCACATATTACATAGAGGTGCAACTTTTTCAGGTCCCACGTTCACCACGTCCAACGTTCTAACAGGTCCCAATTTTCCTGCCTTTTGGGTCATTGACCTGACCTGGAAGGTCAACCGATGACCCAGGACCTTAAAATTGGGTATCATCGGCTTCCTCTCGTCACGGGCAACACGCTGGTTTTTTCCGCGAAGCTCTAGCTTGATCAGGAGCGAAACGGCAAGGGGTTATACCTTATACGTTCGCGGCTGGAAAAAAACACCTATACGGGCGAGGGTCAAGTTGAAAGTATTAATTTGGTTCAAAACGATGATGTAGATAAGTTAGTTATTTAAATCTAAATATCCTATGACGAGAGCGATGGACATTTTTGGTATGCAGTGTTATCCATTGAAAACAGGTCAAAGCTATTGAGTTTTTAATTTAGTGGTCGCCGCTTACTAATCATGCGGCATACACGCCGCACATAACCGCCAATGCCGCAACGCAGCTTAAATTTCGAAGTAAGCATTTAGTCTCACCCGCATTCATATGGTACCCGTCCACGGACGTATAAATAAAATGGACCGGACCCGCAACCACCTCCATTCAGGTGAAGCCGACAAGGCGCCATTTTACGTTGCCAAAAACCCGTGCTCTGAAAGGTCATCGAGCCAATACAATTGGAATTGCGTCTAAACGGATGATCGGATCGAGATGCTGGTGGTACCGTTCGACGGGTAATGCTTTGAGGCAGGTGATGATGCATGTCACAGGTCTCTCGGTGTCACGTGGCGCGTGCCACGTGCCGACAAAGTCAGGAAGGGCAAAAACCTTTAAGCGACGCTCCAAATTAAACGGTGGGCGGCACAGGTGCCAAATTCACAGGTCACATGTCCCGGTGTTTGACCATTAACATATGGTATGCTCGGCAGCAGGGGGTGCGGAATGCACGCGCCAGGGACGAAAAACATGTTTTGAGGAGGCATCCTCCGATTCCGGAAAACCTTGACCTAGGCACACCAAATTTGGCACACTGACACGACTGGACGAGCGCTTTAAGGCGCTGTATAAATAGATGTGCTGGGGTACACGGTGCACGTGCTGTGCACGTGCAAACCTTTTGATGTTGCACTCTGTGTCACATATACGGGCAGAGCGGGTAGCGCTAGCAAGCTCAAAGTGCTAAATTTACACAGGCCACCCAGAATGTATTCCCGCATAGTTATTGAGCATATCCATCTCCTGGTGGACCCCGAAGGTGCGCTCTGCACGTGCAAAAATTATCCGCGCCGGGCGGTGGGGATGCTTGGACACCCCATGTAGGTTTATGTAAATATCTCGAAAACGGCGTTGTGGAGCGCCGCCGTTTTTAGCACACCCTTTCATGCATTTTTTTTCACACATGCTGCATAACTTTCAGACCCAGGTCACTCAAGGTTAGGTCACCAGGTTACGTCCAAGTGGCCTTACCTTAGGAAAAGCTAAAATGCCCGTCATAGCTACACAGACTGAACAATCGGCCTAAAACGTTGGCAGCGATTACTAAGGGCACCACAAAACGTAAAGTACCTCTACCTCGGTATTTCACTGTCACTGACCTAGGGTTCTGTTGATTTTGCGACCTTTCTATTATAGGTAAGTCAATGGGAGACAATTGAAGTGCGCTTCATTTACCAACATAAAAATGAAAATATGACAAAAAAGATAGCGTAAAAAAAGATAGTAGGTAGCGCAAAAGGTAAAATCTCTTGCAGTCATAACACAAAAAGTACAAGTATAAAGCATTATCGGCGCCTGTAGTGATACTGTACCGCAACAACCATTATCTTCATCTTTCACCCATAGATGGCAGTAGCAGAGCGCCTGCATCTATGCTGTGCCGCAGTGCTTTTACAATACGAACTGAGCATTGAGCAAGCGTGGTGTAATAGGTACGATTATGTGGTGGCCTGGACCGGTGACCGCGGCCAAGAAATGGATCTAACTTGACGAGATTATTATATAATAGAAGTTATTATTACGAGACCATGCATTTGGCCGGAATCGCGATTCGGCGTACGTCGGCGCGCACTAGCTGCGCGTTTGCTGTCTTTTCGTGGTTTCAACTCAAGCGTTCAAACATGTGATATGATGCTGGTCACATGCAATATGGTGGGTGTCAAGGTCACGTGACAATTGGGTCAAGGTCACTGACCTTTAATGACCTTGGTTCACCTTTTCTAGTTTTACATGTCTCTAGGACAGTTTTTGGAGCTGATTTCGAATTTAGCATTCAGTTTAACATTTAAGAAGTTATAGTTTCATTGCCTTCGTAACATGTTACGACGCCATCAGTGGTGGTTGACACCTACTATGGATAAGCGGCAGGACACCTACTGGTTGACCTGACCTGACCTGACCCGACCTGGCCTAAATGCATGAAAACATCAGCTGTGATCAAAACAAACATGACATTCCTGATAAATGACCCGTAGAACTCGCAACAACCTCAATTTACGAAGTTGAACTAAACATATCAAAAGTGTTTTCAGCGCTCTTGCATGTCTCTACCAAAGGTTACTGTCAAAATGTTGTGGATGGCTGTCATGACCTGAAATAACCCCAGGGCATAAGTAGAGGTCACAGGTGCAATTTCCCGATTAAATATGTCACGTTTCCCTGCTACCCGTGTCCCGTTATTTGAGTGCATTGTTTAGTATGTTAATATGAGTTTCGTGCAACAAAAGCGCAGTTCAATTGTCTCCCATTGACTTACCTACAATAGAAAGGTCGCAAAATCAACAGAAACCTACGACAGTGACAGTGAAATACCGGAGGTAGAGGTACTTTACGTTTTGTGGTGCTCTTAGTAATCGCTGCCAACGTTTTAGACCGATTGTTCAGTCTGTGTAGCTATGACGGGCATTTTAACTTTTCCTAAGGTAAGGCCACTTGGACGTAACCTGGTGACCTAACCTTGAGTGACCTGGGTCTGAAAGTTATGCAGCATGTGTGAAAAAAAAATGCATGAAAGGGTGTGCTAAAAACGGCGGCGCTCCACAACGCCGTTTTCGAGATATTTACATAAACCTACATGGGGTGTCCAAGCATCCCCACCGCCCGGCGCGGATAATTTTTGCACGTGCAGAGCGCACCTTCGGGGTCCACCAGGAGATGGATATGCTCAATAACTATGCGGGAATGCATTCCGCGTGGCCTGTGTAAGTTTGGCACTTTGAGCTTGCTAGCGCTACCCGCTCTGCCCGTATATGTGACACAGAGTGCAACATCAAAAGGTTTGCACGTGCACAGCACGTGCACCGTGTACCCCAGCACATCTATTTGCACAGCGCCTTAAAGCGCTCGTCCAGTCGTGTCAGTGTGCCAAATTTGGTGTGCCTAGGTCAAGGTTTTCCGGAATCGGAGGATGCCTCCTCAAAACATGTTTTTCGTCCCTGGCGCGTGCATTCCGCACCCCCTGCTGCCGAGCATACCATATGTTAATGGTAAAACACCGGGACATGTGACCTGTGAATTTGGCACCTGTGCCGCCCACCGTTTAATTTGGAGCGTCGCTTAAAGGTTTTTGCCCTTCCTGACTTTGTCGGCACGTGGCACGCGCCACGTGACACCGAATGACCTGTGACATGCATCATCACCTGCCTCAAAGCATTACCCGTCGAACGGTACCACCAGCATCTCGATCCGATCATCCGTTTAGACGCAATTCCAATTGTATTGGCTCGATGACCTTTCAGAGCACGGGTTTTTGGCAACGTAAAATGGCGCCTTGTCGGCTTCACTATCTTCCATAGGAGGTCCATTGGGATCGTCAGTCCAGTTTATTTATACGTCCATAGATATAAAGACTAGATAGGGCACCCCCATGTCGGGAGCGACTCGCGAATACGTAGCAGCGGCCGCCATGTTGGTGAGGGCGAGAATCTGCGGCGCTGTGTAAACACTATGGGAGGAGGGGGGTGTTTGGGACAGATTTTGTGGTATTTTTCGACCGAAAAGTGTTAATCTTTTTTACCTATGGCATTCTTTGGAATGAGTAGATTGTGAAACAAGGGCAGAAACATGTGTATTTATAGTAATGTAATTACATCAGCCCTAGACATATAGCCCTGAAGACGCTGATAAAGGATATGCGGCACCGAAGGTAGATGCAATTGGCATGCTAATTTAAGATTAAATTCGTTTCCCATTATGGCTACCATACTTTATATCTATGTATGCAGTATGCAATGGACAATGATCGACAATAAGTGCAATTTTAGCCCTCACCCGTTCGTAGTTTGTCAGCGTCTTACGAGTAGGGGAAGCCAGGGTGAACGGAGTGAACTCCAGCCGTTCGCCCCTCGACGGAGCAAGAACGGAAAAAATAGGTATGCTGTCCGCGATGTGAGTAAACCAGTGATACCAAATTTCAGGGTACTAGGTCAACGGGTGAACTCAGAGGTCAGGTCAAACACTGGAAATCGAACCAGTAAAGTCACTGGAGTTTGAGATCTTTCGCTATAAAATCGACCAAAACGCGTGAACTGTCGGCGAAATGGGTTACATCATTCCCAATCAACCTCATCTCGAAATCTAGCGAACCGGGTCACATAAGGTCATACAAGGTCAGCGACCTTAGATGACCTCGGATGGCCTTGACACATGGCGGGTCATGTGAAGTGTATTTATGGGCGCCGATCTCGAATCCCGTGTCAATCTTACTTTAAAAAATGATTTGCGGGCACAAATTCGCAAACATAATTAAGGATTACGAATAAAATGAGCAAGATGCTCCGAAAACTGCCCATATGAAGCGCAGCCTTGACCTCGAGGCAAATGCACGTTATCTAGACATGTCATCAACACTAAAAAAAAAAAACGCATGTAAAATGCATAAACATGCACTAGAAGGCAAGGAAATTCACCCGGATGCGGCAAATCGCAAAATCCGCTTATTTTAGCCGAACATGACCTGACCCGAGCTCCGATGACCCATTCCTCACTTTGAATCAATCCGCGCCCCCTACAGGCACCGACATCGCCCTTGCAGACAGCACCGACGATAGTCGCACAGGCACGTGGCGACCTAGTGTAACTGTAGCCGCGCCTTCAGCCACGAACACCAGTTTGTGCCGGATCAGCCAGCCACGGAGCAGAGACGGCCGGCAACGAATCGGCAATTAACAGTGCTACATATCGACACGGTCACAAGAGGCGAGGCGTTAACCCAGCGCCCACTGCATTGGTCGCCAGTGGACCCACTCAGTCACTAAGCAATCATCGACAAAATACGTCTTTTATCGGCCAGACATTGATCTGTTCATTAATATGAAGTGTCCATCCAAATCCACGCTATCCGCCACACAGCAGCTATCGACGGTAGATACCCACTCCAGCGGCAGCTGGCCGCGACTCACTGACACCGGCTAGAGACAGCTGACCGCTGAAATCACCAACACTTCGGCAGGGTATGAGCGGGTCTCAGTCAGATCCCAGGCATGTAACCCGTCCCCACCTTAGCTCATCTGGCAGAGATGATGAAGAGGTGGTAAAGCTGTGTCATGTCGTCCGGCTGGATGTCGCTCACCAGGGCCTCCTGACAGGTGCTACAGCTGACAGAGTCGAGCGCCTTCTTCACCACGAACCCTGCGATGTAGGTGACGATGTTGCCCACCAGACGACAGCCCAGGCTGGAAGTCGTGCTCCGTGATGATGTGGAGTGCCGTGGCACCGTTGTCTGAGGTGGTGGAGGCCGAGGTAGTAAGGCTGGCTCCCCGTCCGCTGGTCGTGTGACCGACTGCCAGGATGCTGGTCGGGTCGAGGGCTGCCACTTTCCCTGTGCTGCCGGGCCGGACGCCGCAGCGGTGGAGCAGGTGCCGGAATATCCCGCAGAACTGTGCGGCACTGGGGTTGTTCCAGCCACCTGGAAGGTTCGATTAGTATCAATAAAATATGGCTAATAGTGTTTAGTGTTAACATACGCCAGGCACAAGTGTTGTATTTGTTGTTAACACATTGTTGACACACACGCACACGCACACACACACGCACACACACACACACACACACATGTTGGCAATGGTAAAGCAGTCTCCGGGCATTTGGTAATAATTTTTTGCACTTATTCTGGTTTTAGTGACTGATGGGCCTTTACCCACGCATGACTGGAGGGTGGGGCTCTACAGAGCCCCTCTACTGTTTTCTGCAATAAAATATTTACATTTATATATTGAAAAAAATTAAAATATATATTTGTTGCGATATTTCTAAACCACTAGACGTGTCAATACGAAACTTGCAGTACCTTCGGCTGCATCAATCTGAAACATTTAATAGAAATAAAAATTGTGTAGCTACCATAGGTCGGCCGTAAATGACGTCAGATTGATCAGTGAAGTCATATTCTGCCAATTTTGATGCAAGAAATTGAACTACAGCAATCGCTCTCAGTGACAGATAACCTGTAACAATATAAAAAATCAAGAGTCTGTAGCTTTTACTTGCCAATGCAGGGTGATCTCTTGACTCTTAAGCCTCATCCCTGGTTTGTCAGCAATCAAATCCTGCACATCTATTTGGCATCTTGATTCTTGAGAGACTGAGAGGCAAATTTCAATTTCAAAAGATACTAGTCTTTAAAGCTGAAACATATTAACAGTTAGTCAGATCAAAACAAGGCCTGTAGCATACAAGTGTAGGATACTGGATTTGCACACAGTACACACTACAAAATACACATAGCAAACAGTGAGATTACAGTCATGGAAAAGCATCAGGTTTTTAAAATAATAGTTTACACAGACTTAAATACAACAATTTAAATGAGCTTCAAATAAAATGAGAAGTGGAGTGAAGTACCTAACAAATAAGGGTATCCATAAATCTGGTGCCACCGTCGGCACATATAAGGTTGGTAGGTTGTAGGTAGGTGGGTAGGTTGTAGGTATGGAGGTTGTATGTAGGTTGAGGTTTGTAGGTTGTAGGTTAGTTAGGTTAGTAGGTAAGGTTAGGTCAAGTAAGATTATGATTTTTATCTTCCTTGGACTGCATATTTACTTGTTAGCACTTAGCATTGATGGTAACGCCAGATTTACTAATACCCTATTTACTGATACTGATAACAGGTGAGCCAAAAGAGCATGAAGTGTAGTTTAAGCTTTACAATGTGAAAACTAATTAGGTAATGACAATCTGAGTTTAGGTGCTCCAACTAACGCACATTTTTACGTCACCAATGTGCTGTTCATTATTGGGATCAAATGTGCGACACGGTTCACTGGTGCAGATATCACGACGTCTGGCATTTTCACTATCTATCAGCTCTGGTTGAGGGTGAGCGTGGTATGCCACTGCACTCTGAACCCAGAGCGGATAAGAGCCCCCAAGGCATCTGGCATAGTGCATGGATTTTTCGTTTGGCACTGAACTACTATTTAATACTAACTGATGACATTAAGTAAAGTACTTATTTAAAACCTATCATCATAAAACCTTCTTACTTCATAAATATTGTCCATTGAAGGCAACAGTAGAAAGTGAGCAGGTAAAGCAAGTGTAGGTAATGAGTCTGCTTTCCGCTGCCAATGTTCTGGTACCTATCTAGGTAAGCTTTCTTTGTGAAAAATCATATGACTGATGCTCTATCCATGCAAGAATAATTAAAGGATTGTGGTGTGCACAAAAAAAACATGGGAACTGAATTAAATCTAAAACAGGCATGCCAAGCAAATCTACCTTTGGTGCCGCCTATTCTTCATCAGCGTCAACAGTGCAATATGTCTAAGGCTAACGTAGCCAAATTACAATAGATAAGCATATTTCAGCACTTGTTCCACAATCTACACATTCCAAAGAATGCCGTGAGCAAAAAAGATTAGCACTTTTCGGTCGAAAAATACCACAAAATCAGTCTCAAATACCCCCCTCCTCCCGTAGTGTTTACACAGCGCCGCAGATTCCCGCCCTCACAAACATGGCGGCCAGTCGCACGCACTAAAACACTGCCAATGTCCCATCTAGTCTTTTATATCTATGTATACGTCCGTGTACCCGTCGTGTGTGTCCGAGAATTTCTCTAGTTTCTGAGGAATTCTTCGGGACCCATGCTCTGCTCATACTGCATCCGAATATACGCCTCGTGTACGCCGTGCTTGCCGTAGGCGGCGTTCGATGTCTCCCGGACGGCAAAGACTCTTTGCCGTCCAGCCAATCCCGTCCAAGGTCAGCGGAGGCTCGTCTGCGGTTATGAAATGTGATTGGCCGGACGGCGTAGAATCTTCGCCGTCCGAGAGACATCGAACGCAGGGGTACTGACATGTGGCGTGCCAGTGGCATGGATTATGGATTCTCTAATCCATGCCAGTGGCGTGCTATTTGTAATGTGACCTAGATGGCCTTGATGTGACCACGTGGGATTTGGGGTAGGTTAATCGGTTAATCGTGGGTATGCATTTTGTTATATTGGTGGCCTCGTCATTCGTTTCTGTCTGAAATTGTATTCTGTATTAATGTTAGAATAAGTTTTAATGTTAGAATAACATGAAAAATAAAAAATACGCATTTTTGTAATTTTAAATACCTACATGTTTTCCAAAATTTCGATTGATTAAGAATGCGGTTCGATAGCTATGTGTCTTTTTAGTTCACTCATGCCAAAAAAATTGGATTTAAATAAAAAAATTGGACTGAGATCTTGAGAGCTTTTGCCGTAATTCAATAGTTGCCTCAACATCGGACATGACGTCACTCTGACGTCATTTCCGGCCACACTATGATAGCTAGAAAGTTAAAATTTTAACACAAGGTGTCAAATTGATGCCACTGAGGTCACCGTAAGTTTCGTGTCGATCCGACAAACGGTTTAGAAGATATCGCCGAAAAACAGGAGGGCGGGCTCTGTAACAACCCCCTCTCCAGTCGTGTGGGTTAATAGAACCGTCTGGAGTAGGAGTCTATGTCAATTTTTGAAGTTGGAGTCAGAGTCACTCCAAAATCCGTCGACTCCGCAATCTTGTCATCTAATCTATAAGGCTACAGCATTTGTTCAAGGTGGATTATTATAGTGCAAATTTTGGATTGTTGATTTGCTGGCATGTTGACCAAGTGTTCATATTTTACAGATACTTTGTTGTCTAAACATGTCTTCACCATCCATTGATGTCACAATGAAGACATCTTTAGACCAACTGTCTCAAAATCTGGCAGGTAAGTCGAGAATATTTCCCTTGTCCATTTAGGTCTCTGGGAAGTTATTATTATGGAGGAACTTATTTTTATGTGTGGTGGCTCGAGACTACATTTATTGCAATTACCCATGCATATAATTGCTCTGTTTAATTTTTATGCCAGTTATTGGCCATTGAATTTTAACCCAAAAACATCCTCCTGGGTGCTGGCTGCTGACTGCTTTTAGCTGTTGCCATTATATGTAGGTATATTGGCATTTTGTTAGCAAATTTAGGAGTATCTGTTCAATTTTCAAATATAATAAGGGTCATAAGTATCTGCTTACATGTTGATGCAAGTGGAAGTTTTTGTGTAGTTAGGTACCTATATTCTATGCCACATGTGCTTAGATGTAAATGTTTTATAGTTAGCTATATAGGAAAGGAAACTGGAAAGGTTTGAGGCTTGTTCGATCTTGGTGGCCTGTGGGTAGCAGGCAGTTTGGCTGCAACAGAGTAATGAGGTACGCTTAAGTAAATGTAGGTACTATTTGTTTTGTTTGTCTCAGATCTGTGTCTGCCCCTGGATAACGAGGTTCCAGAGCTGAACGAAGTCCCTTCACCACTGTCGTTCCTGCGGGACTGGTGCGGCCCAAACAAGCCTTTTGTGGTTCGGGGAGCCGCCAGCAACTGGCAGGCTGTGAAGCAATGGAATCCCGATAATTTCAGGTACGTTATTTTTACAATCGTTGAGTGACATTTTATTCTGATGATGTGGCTGAAAGGAAACTGCTATGGCGTCACGGTTCGCTATATAGCTTTTTCTTCTACGGTGTGGCGACGAATGTTATATCCGGTGTTTTTTTTCGGGGGTTAACTTTTAAAGGTAGTGTGCCAGCTTTCCTGGACGGTATGGAGTTAAAGGGACCCTCCCACCTTCAAAAAAGTTAATGAATTGGCATGAAAGTGATGTCGCTCGGTTCAGAAAGAGCAAAAACGAATATCTACCAAATTTCATCGAAAAATATTCACCGGTTTTCAAGATATTAAACTTTTACTTTTGTTTACTTTTTGGGATCTCCGCTGTTCCTAGCGACTTTATTTGAAAGTGCGGCATTTGTTGCGCGCAAAGCAGCATATACCACCGCGTGCTACAAAACGTTTTAGTCAAACATTTCACGGACGTTCGAAAGCCTGATGACGTCATCAGATTCCCGTAATGGTTAAGAGATAGGGACCACGCTGGTCCCACCCTGCAAGTAAAGGGAAGAAATTTCTTGAACACCATAAAGCTGCGGGGGTTGCGACCAGGATAAATGGTGGTTTCTGAGCCTGGCCGCAAACTTGGCTATCTCAACTCAAAACTAATGTTAAGGTGGGAGGGTCCCTTTAATGGCCCAGATAAGGAGAACCGGATTTTTAGAACTTATCCATACCTTCAAAACTCATGGAAACGTCTTAAATTCTTCAAATTTTGAGTACCCCAGTGCGAAATTCGCCCCGACGGGTTGTCGGTCGTACCCCAACCACATTTCACACCACTATGAACAATAAATGCACACACTGAAATCGCTATTACCGATATGCTCATCCAATCAAGTTTCGATAAACCCGTTCATCATCATCTCCTGCGGTTTCGAACACGCCTGTTAGGTGGTGCGGTAGACCGTGCCCAAAGCCAGGGCCCCGGTAACGTGAGGTAGCCGAGTCGGGGCAGCGTGCGCTGACCCAAGCCGGGGCCGCGCGTCCTCCCGGTGTCATGTGATAGCCCGGGGCTGCCCGGGGATGCGGTAGACCGCGCCCAAAGCTGCGGCCCCGGCTTGGGTCAGCGCACGCTGCCCCGACTCGGCTACCTCACGTTACCGGGGCCCTGTTTCACCGGTGATAGCAGCAAGCTGCTATCACGTTTCGCGAGCTGACGTCATGTCGTGACGCCATACTGTTGTCGTAATGGGTAGTTCCGGCGCACGATTGCCGCGACCTTGGCGGCGGCATTAAGTGACGTATGAGCCTAAAAATAAGAGTTTACGCAGTCATGATAGTATATATATTTTTGATATATATTTTTTCAATATGATGTATTTAAAAGAAGTTGGGTTTAGGAAAAATTTGGACATTAACTTCGAACATTTAGCTGATGACGTAAAACAATATTGCGGCAATCGTGCGCCAGAATTGCCCCTTACGTCAGCAGTATGACGTCACCTCAAGTCACTTTTTTGCAACTTTGTCACCGTGCCAGAGCTACAGTAGATGTCGGAGGCCTTTGAAAGTCGCAAGATGATATTAGGTCATTAGTAGCTACAATTTGTATATCTCGGAATTTTGATATCGATGACCTAAGGTCAGGTCAATTTCTCGACCTCCCCATTATAAGTCAATGGGGGAAAAATCAACTCCCTGTTTTTACCACTAAAACGGGTCGGAATGGCCCCATAAACCATACATGACCTCATATACGATCAACCTTCACTACCTTGAGGTCTGTTTTGCTGTTGGGCAGCTGTAAGGTCATGTGACGTCATCAAAGGTCACCAGCGGTTTTTTGACAATAACTCCGTACAGGAACAGGATACAGCCGCGCGGTTGGTCTCCTTCTGTTCAGCTCGTCAAGGCGCATCGAATGATATACATGATGACCTCGAGGTCACGTGACCTGAGGTCAACCTTTGACCTTGACCTTTCGAGGTCATCATATATATTATTCGATGCAGATTGACGAGAGGATTACGATGCTGCCCTTAGTTTGTTCCTATATTGACTAGTTCGAAAGTTATTCGAGAAAAACTCTCCATACCTAGCGCCGCCATTTTGACTTTTTTGACCCCTATGACGTCATCTTTGACCTGACCTGAAAATGACCTTTGTAAAAATTGTAGACCTTGTCCGTGCGTATCCCTTGCCGTTTAGCGCTTGTCGCTATCTTGCTTCGTTTTCGAGATCTCAGGGGGGGGGGGCGGTCATCCGCCCCCCGTCGGTGCGAAGTTGGCGCAGACCCCCGTCGGTGCGCGGGTTAAGATGCCTAATTATTGCTTTCATTTGGCGTCATAGGAGTTCCAACGGAGGCACCAAAAATTAACGGAAGTAAAAGTCTATTATCTCGAAAACTAGTGAATATTTTTTGGTGAAATTAGGTAGATATTCATTTTTGCTCTTTCTGAACCACGGTTCATCACTTTATGCCAATTCATTAACTTTTTTGAAGGTAGGAGGGCCCCTTTAGTGTGCCCAGCAGAGCTTGAGCACCGGAGCGTCGGATCTGGGCTCATAGTATGTACTGGTGGTCCTACCATTAGTGTCCCCACGGGGGGGGGGAGCAGGGCAGCTTGCCCCCCCCCCCGACATCCCGCCGGGCAACCCTGGGATCAATGCAAATCCAATAAGATTTTGGGGTCGGAAAAAGATCTGAGTAGTTTTTTAGAATGACTGAAGTCAGAATCAGTTAGAGTCGATAATCCCAGCCAGAGTCGAAGTGAGAGTCGACAAAATCTTCAGGGCCTCGACCCCAGACTCGAACATGTCAGTACTTTGATTCAATCCATCTCTTTGTTGGTTTAGTTGCATTTCACACTTGATTTACACCAGTCTAGTACGCTGACACGAAATTTTAGTTTGAAGCCCTAGCTCTAATGTTTCGGGGATAAGTCCGGGTATTTTCCAACTGTAGTTTCATTTCAGCTTGATTTGCTTTAGCTCGATTTCTAGCCCATTTCAACTTTGAGGAGCTTTTTACGGCAGGTCTATGAAGGATCTTTAAACACAGATCTTCGAAGATTTCTGAAAACCTGTGCTGACCTCTAATACCCCAATCGAGCTCTTGAGGCAACACAGGGTTCTTGGAGACCCATAACCGGCACCTGAGGGGCCACGTTCGCCTCGGGGCAGGAATGCGGGTTCGGGGTCGGAGTCGACAACTTTGACCGGAGTGAGAGTCGATTTTGGAAGCCGGGCGCGAGGTCGAGTGGGAGACACCGTACAATTTACCACAGCAACTTTTCATGCAATAATATGGATTTTTAGAAGTGGGAACCGATTGCCTGGATCATTTCCAACTTCTTCTGGATAAGGATCAGGAGGTCTGCACAGTGCGGAAGAGCCTGTCTGAAGGAGCGGGAAGGGTGCCCACTGTGTGCCCACTGTGTCCTCCCCATTATAATACTCGCTCCTGTTAAAACTAACATAGCGGGTAATGTGTAAAACATTAATTTTACCGAAATCTTTCTAGATTAATTCGTTTTTTGCATTTCATAACTAGAGGGAAACTTTTTCACCACTGCATCAGTCGAGCTCTGTCGCGTTCAATGACAAAACGGGTCAGTACCCAATGAGTAGAAAGGCATGATATAACGCAAAATTGAATCAATGAGTCCTACGGTCTATCAACTGAGATAGGGAACAGGCAAACCCCTGATCTATACTGGAAGTTTCATCATCGAAGAAGTGTGAAGTGGAAGTAAATGTATTTCACACGTATCAATTAACGCACTGCTAATTTTAGCATTTTTTTCACGTTGTGTAAATGCATATCAATTTTAATGTCATGTTCCTTTTCATGTCGTCAGGAAACGCTTTGGCGATAAGATATTGTCAGTTGCCGTAACTCCTAATGGTTACGCTGATGCCATCAACGGGAACTATTTTGTCCTACCAGAAGAGAGGAAGATGCACTTTGCCAAGTTCCTAGACATCATAGAAGAGCCAGATAAGCATAATGGTGAGTGACTGTAACTGCTCGGATTTATCACTTCGTTTTTTTTTTTAACATAAGTCTGACAATATGTGGCCATAAATAAAAGCCCTAATGTTTCAATTCACACTCCTCATGCTTTCTTATCGATTCGTTTGTATGCGATTCTCTCAATGTCTTCGGGAGAGTAGGCTTCATTAGTCGCAGTATTGTAAGCACAAGAATATGTAAACTATTGCATATGCATTGACACCAATGTTCACTAACTCATTTTACAGGCATCTTCTACATTCAGAAGCAGAACTCGAACCTGACTGAGGAATTTCCGGAACTGCTGGACGGAGTTCCAGCCGATATTCCTTGGATGAGTGAGGCTCTCAACAAGACCCCCGATGCCATCAACTTTTGGATGGGAGACGGTCGCGCCGTGACATCATGTGAGGCTCCAACAGTGCAGGATGTACCACATTTTTGATAGCCGTGACATGACGTTCTATGCCACTTTCTTTTTTTTTCCTAGCATGGTAGAAGCTGAGTTTGGACCATGTTTGCGGCAAGCTCCTATTTCTACTTGTTTTGTAAATGCGGAAAATTGCTATGAAGTTAACAGTAAGCAGTCGGACTACCATCACCCAAAACAAAGCTTCTTGATTTTTTAAAACATGTTGAGCTACACTATATTTAAATTTTATAATAAAAATTTTCTCTTCCAGTGCACAAGGACCACTACGAGAACGTCTACTTTGTAATATCCGGCTACAAGGACATCCTGCTGCTGCCGCCCGGCGCTCGGCCGTGGATCCCGCACAGGTTCTACCCCACGGCCACCTACGCGGAGGAGGGCGGTAGGTTCGAGCTGAGACCGGACTCTGAGGGCGAGCCGGTGCCGTGGGCCGACTGGGCGCCGCCCGCTGAGGGGCAGGAGGTGCCGCCTGGCCAGCCGCGCCCGGTCCACTGTCGTCTGCACGCCGGCGACATGCTCTACCTGCCCTCACTCTGGTTCCACCACCTGCGGCAGTCGCACGGCTGTATCGCCGTCAACTATTGGTACGACATGGAGTTTGATGTCAAATACTGCTACTTTAAGTTTCTAGAATCACTGAGCACTGCCACTGTGGATAAGTGATAGTGGAAGTCTAGACTAGCATCAGGACTCCTGGGTGCCTTTGATCCCTTGCCGAGCTTAACGATTTTGCTTAGAGTAGTGGGCATAGGGCAATGCTTATCCATACCGACCTCGTTCGTTGTCAACTCATGGAGGGTATTATTACATTAGAAATTTGTTATGGAAAATTGTTACAACGGATTAGAGGTGAAGTATCAACTATCAAGGAATAATTGGTATGCTATATTATGTGCTAGAGTAAAATTAAAAAAAAAAACACCGAAAAAGAAACGAGGCCTCGTGACCCCAAGCCCCCCCGGCCCCCAAAGAAACTTAATACTTACACAAGTCAGCGAGGTGTGTCACATTTGTCCCGAGATGGCTTCCAACTTGTTAAGCTCACGGCCTTATCTATTGTATTGTATTGTATTGAACAATCATGAGCGATCCACATTCTGAAAGTGCGTGGCGATTACTGCTCAGATGGAGGTGCGTTGCTCCTTCTCCGAGGTTAGAAGAGTAGCAAATGCCTGCACAGTGCATTTCATAGCCTGACTAATTCGTCACAAATTTCGTTGCCTCATAAGGTTTCGTCTCTGCGTTTCTTCGCCCCGCTGTAATTGGTCTCGCATTTATTTGCCAGTGCATCTATTCGTCTGCAATTATTTGTCGTCTCGAATCTTCTCACACAGGTCATTGACATTATTCTTCGTTTGTGTGGACGCCTCATTGGATGGTATTACGGAAACTCAAAAGCTCTTCCATGTTTGATTTTTACTGATGAGGGTGATGTTGCCAACAGTTTCACTGACCCACTGGCACTCATCACCTTTCCGAGCATCACCATCGGCCAGTAGCAAAGGTGCGCAATGCGCATCGTCCCGCAGGGCGCAGACACGGCACACAAGGCGTCTTTGAGCGCCGTGTCGCATCTTTCGAGTCGCGGCGGCCGCAGGCGCTTGCGCTTCAGGAATCGACCTGGAACGCCACCATGGTGGTACTGCCCGTCCGTGCGGATGGCAGCAGTTTTCCAGCAGTTGTCACACCACATGGCTTGACTGTGCCCATTTTTGACAGTGCTGGCCTTTGCACAGGAGTGTTTCTCTAACCACTTCTGCTCAGAGGCCGCAAACCACCCCACCGCACAGTCCCAGCCAGCATTTATGCTTGACACCGACTGGGCCCCATTCGGGCATACGCCGGGCGGCGACTGGGCATCCCGACGTGGGCCCAAGGTGGCGTCTGCACCAAGAAAACGCCGGGCCTCGACAGGGGCCCGACTGGGCAAACGACTGGGCTTGGACCGGTTACGGACTGGGCAGCCCCTTCAACCACTCCGCCACGGCGATAGCGAGTCGGGCCCCCGCTGGGTCCAAACTGGGCAGGCGCGTCTGCCGCGCAGACGATGCGGACTCTACTGGGCACCGACTGGGTACCGACTGGGCGCACGCGTCTCCCGGTTGGGCCCCTGCTGGGTACAGACTGGGCTGACATGTTTCCGCTCGGTAGGTTGGCGATATTTAAAATTAGCGATAAAATAATTACAATTACGCATAACCTCCGTACAACATAACCTAACATAACCGCCGTCGTTCCGGTTGCTTGCGTAAATACTGGCAGCCTTTTTATGCATCATTTACTATAAATCAGCTGCGGCTCTACACACTACAGGACAGCGTAGTCGAGCACCTCTCCTTCGTGCTCCTCCTGGACGACCTGCGGCTTGGGCTGACCGTTAATCACTGCAGCCGGAGCGGCCCGTCGGCTTTCCGATGCCCGGTTCAACCGCCGACCGTCGCGGTCTCGTGTTCCATGCAGCCAACTGGCGATGGCTGTGTCGACTTCTTTCAGGGTCGACGCCGACGTTCTCGGGTTTCGCTTCACTGCGCCTGTGAAAACGCAACGCAACACCGTTTGGTGTTGTGTTGACCGGCTGGGACTTCCACTCCCACTCGAAAGCCAACACCTCAGCGTGTGGGCCGGTGGGAACCTTGCTGGGCCCCAGTCGGTCTGCCCAGTAACTGGTTTTGCCCAGTCGGTGCCCAGCATAAATGCTGGCTGGGGTGAGGCTTTTTATGGTCTAGCGTCTCTTTTCCATTTTTTTCGTTTTGGATTATTTTCTTTGCATCAGTTGGAATAAGAAATGAATTTTTCATATTTGGCATTGTTTTATCTGCATCCTCACAGCAAGGCAAGGAAAAACGTACTCAGACATCGCGTTCGTGCGTGATTTCTCAATCTTGTAAGGTTCGGAAGTATACCTGGATTGCATTGTCCTGTCCTGTTGGTTTTATTGTAGCGGAATTTTAAAATTGCCTATTGTGAACTTTGTGCACTTTGAGCGATCCGCAAGCCTGAACTATAATCAGATCATTATGAAGTTCGGGTCCCGGAACGCGCACGCACCTTTTCCGTGATACACCTTCGAGAATGCGTTGATGCATTCTGGAGTCCGCATAAGCCGTCCCATCGTGGACCCATTCGGTCATTAGATCCGTCATGGCTCCCGCGTTTCGCAAGAATGCAGCGATTGTCCGCGACGCGTATGGCGCTGAAAGGGTATGCGATTGCGACCTCAGCTTTGGGTGGAGCAGCTGCTCTCCTCTCTCTCTGCGCTGCGCCCCATGAGGGCTTCAAAGCCCTTTCCATGTGTGTGCCGCTTCGTGATCGACGTCATCTCACTGACAGTCGTGTCCACCCAGCTTCAGTCTTTTTTTTTCTTTGCTCGCGTCACCATCCACGAGATTGAGCAGATGCGCGTCATCCCACATAGCCGGCACGCACGGCTGTTGTTGCGCGCGTTCAGCTTGTCACCTCTGGCCAGCTTTTGCACGATCTTCGAGAGCACCTTACGCATCATGTATTGGTCGTCAGTTGAAATGCTGGTCAGCTGATCAGGATCGGTGATCCCTATTCAAGCCAGAGACTGCACTATCTCGTTCGCTAGCCCTTCGCCGCTCGCATCGGTCACGATAGGAGCTGATATTACAAACGACTGGATGATGTGCCCGACTGGGGCTTCTGGCACCTGCTCAACACGATCGCTGTGAAGTGGAGGGACCGTTTCCAGAGCGTTACCTTCGCTGCCACATACCGTGGAAGTTTGTCCCAGAGCACACACTGCACTTGAACACGAAGGGTGCATGAAAGCGGTGGAGTGATTTACATCACCCATCGGTAGACCATTCTTGACCTGTATAAAGATGTAGTTTTCAAGAGAGGCGTGAGCAAGCCATCTTTTCATTACGTAGTAGCCGGTGCACGTCACACGCGCTGCGATGTTCTTGTTCTTTGCGAACCGTCCCTGGGTGATTCGCGACACTTCTTCACGTCTCCTCACATTCTGCGCATGCTTTTCGTCTGCAAAGTGGTTCTGGATGGCCAGTTTCAGATTTTATAGCATAGGCGGTAAAATGTGGTCGTTTTCGAAAGAAGTAAAGAAGTAAAGAAGTACAGCCCTTAGTAGGTATTCTTTTTTCGACAAAACCGAGCATAATTCGAAGGCTTACATCTGTCCCTTAAAATAGTGGACAAATTTCAAAATGCCATAGCTCAGACGTCATGCCATATTTATTCACGAACTTTCCTGGAATATGCACTCGAGCATTCTCCACTTGCTCACGTGCCTATGTATGTACATTAGCGCATTGGTGCCCTCCCGACCCGCGCGACGGAGGTCCGACCTCGGGGCCACCCATGTCTGCACGTCAGCTAGCGCCTTGCGCTCTAGGTTCAGTGGGCATGACTGACATCCACGCACGTGGAGGGCGAGAGCGCGCCTCGTGAATCCACGGCCCGCCTTCGGGCACCACAGCCACCCTCGCTTTACGGCCCACCCGGACGGGGGATGCCAGTCAGTTGCAGTGCGATCCGCACTGTCAGGGGCGAGACCAGGCGCTCTGCGCACGGTCAACCGCGGCCTCTTTGGCTTTGGAGGGGCGTGGTCACCATCGCTTTGGACATCGTCGGACTCACTGTCCAACGAACTTGTCTCTGTCTCTTTGGCCGCGGGATAGCTCGGGTCGGCAACGTCGTCGTACACGACCCAATCATACTTGTGTGCCTCGAGACCCATGGATGGTCCGACTGCCATTTTAGACGCGCCAGATTGATCATCGTCAGACTGAGACGACTCAGACTCAGACGACTCCGAGTAGGAATTGTGGGTCTCCGGCTGAGGGAGCCCTGAGGTCGAAGGTTTGTTGGGATCGAACTCTGGCGTCATAGACAACACAGAGTCAAAATCGTAGGTCTCCGGCGGAGGGAGCCCTTCAACTCCTTCGAGGCGCAATTCGGCGTTGGGGTCAGGGTCCGGGGATTGAGACATGATGCAGCAAAGAACAAACACAAAACACGACAAAACTCACAACACACTCACGAAACTCACCAAACTCACTCACCAAAAAGACAGAGGGACAGAGAATTTCTTTAGCTACGTTATCCAACAAGAAATAACAGAGATACAGCCGTATGAACACACACCAAGAACAAACAACACAACACACAAGATAAAACTCACAACACACTCACGAAACTCGCCAAACTCACGCGGCTCAGCGGGGTGCGCGCAACTCGGACGCCCACATGTTCGACTTTTCTTGCGGATCCTGTTTACCAGCTGCTGCTTCAGCCTCAGCTACCAAATCTGAAGATCAAATGAGCATGAAGTTGGTAAATTCTCTGACAGGGCAATGAACACCAGCGATGCGCCCATACAAGTAGAATGGCGACAAATGAAATTATAAGCACGCATGAAGGGCAAGCCTTCTACGGCCTGTCGAAGGACTGAAATTAGTAATATAGTAAAGGTACCAACCTGGCTACCCATATATTCATCATCACGATCGACCTGGATTATAGCGATGTCACCCATGCCTGCCAGCACCAAGTCGCAAGCACTAGAAAAGATACCATTAGAAATTCCTAATGGTCTAATGATTGTTGGGAATTGGAACAACCCTAATGGTTTCTGATGGTCTAGTGGTTTCTGATGGTCTAGTGGTTTCTGATGGGTTCTAATGGTCTAATGGTTTCTAGTGGTTTCTGGTGGTCCGTAGTGGTTTCTGATGGTCCATAGTGCTTCTAATGGTCCGAAGTGTTTTCTGGTGGTCGCTAATGGTTTCTGAAGGTCTCTAATGGTCTGTGATGGTCTTTAATGGTTTCTAGTGGCAGCTGGAAATCCCGGGCCACCCCAAATTATAATCTTGCAGTGACATAGCTGGGTGGATTGTCTATCTAACCAGATAGGACAATCCACTTGAATGCTGAAAATAAATGGCATAACGGCTAGCGTGATGTCATCAAGCGTGTGTGAAATGTTACAGGACGTATTCCTTCGACAGCTTTGTTGATTGTTGCAAGGAAACTGTTGAGTGACAGCAATCTAACTAACTCTAACTAGATCAATTTACAGACCAGCACGATTGGCGAGTTATTGGCAAGATTGAAATTCAAGTAATGATTGATAATAGCTGTATTTCCGAAGAGTATGAACTGGCAGTTGCACTGCTGCACTGCAAAGCCAGGCCCTGGCATCGCTTTTACTGATGGCTTCGTCTCTGCTTGCGGACTATGTCCTGGATTTTCTCATTTATAAACTTGGGCGTCTTTTTCACCGCGATAGCAGCGGCCTCGTCGCTTCCACCCCTTTAAAGTACGAAGCTAGTAAGCTCATCTGAAAAGGATAATTACAGCCAATTAGCGGTGTGATGAACATGGGCGAATGACCATTGGTTATCGGCGCGTAAGTAAGGAGCCAGTAAACAGACAATGGTTTGCGACACGTGCGTCAGGAACAAGGGAATTACATGGTGTTTCAAAAACGGCATACTGTGACGTATTCCATCTCCTACAGCACTAA